ATGACAGACAGCTGCCCTTTCCACCCCCCCGCCCCGTACGCTGCCCACCTGGCGTCCCCAGCAAGCGCACCGTGCCTCGCTGGGGGAACACCACTGCCCGGCCCGCAGCTGTTCACCTCCTAGGGCGCGGCTAGGTCAGGGGACACTGAAATGTGAAATCAGGCCTTTAGAAACTTCATAACTGGTTATCAATAACTGATTCAAATGGGAAGGTATCAGACAGTGTGTCGCTCTGTTAATAACACCTGTCAGGAAGCCACATCTTGAATGACAAAGGTGATGTGATGATCCAGTTTTGTGCTGCTTGCCAAACTGCTGGTCAGCACCTGCTTATATGGCCTTTGTCATTAGCACTGCAGACTGACTGGCCTACTGAACGCTGCCCTTTAACCAGGACGCTAGAAGCCCTCCTGGCTCACTGGGATTTTTTCCTTTCCTTTCTTTCTCAGCATTGTATTCTGCCCAAAGTCAGCCTGCTGGTACAGGGAACGGCTGTGTGTGTAAGGGGAGAACACAATGATGGCATCTGGTGTGAGAAGGGATCCATTATTTTTGGCTGGGAAACGTTTTGATGCAAACCAAAGCTAACTTGGAAAGGCAGTTTGTAACAAACAGGAGCACAATTGCTCTCGTGGAACACAGATAGGGAGCTCCAGTCCCACCCTTCCAGAGAAGCTGCTCTGAACAGTTTGAAATCCCCTGGACTCAGGTGTGAGGTCAACTGTTAGGAAATTGGGAGGGGAGACAAAGCCACTTACAGAGGTGATGACACTGAAGTCAGATATTAATGTAAGAACCCAAGTCTGGCAGCAAGGGGACTAAATGTACTAGAAGATTATAAAAATGATCAGTTTTTAGGGAAGACACTAAATCTTTGTAAGAATAATGACTATTCTACACAAAGTTGAAATTGGAAAAATGGAAACTTATGAAAAACTTAAAAATATGTTTTTAACAACTTTAGGGAAAGGTGTTAAATGTCAGAACTCTTGAACATAATACAGCAATATTACTAATTTTAGGTCAACTGCTTTGGAAAAATTTTGAGTGTGCGCTGTAATTTTTGCACTTGGAGATGGTAGATTACTTTGTCCTCTAAGAATGTTTCAATATTTAAAAAATAATTTTCACGTACTTGGAGGGATGAAATATTAAGCCACACTGTTCACACTTATGTCATCAAAAATCACCACTGGCTTTTTCTGCCGTGTTGGAAAAAACACCAAGATCAAATCATCAAATTCAAGATGCCATTCTGTTTTCAAAGTAGGATAGTTTCCTGCAAACTTCATTCAAATGAAGATTTATATCTCTTAGAGACAACATTTAATATTCCATCAAATACAAGTACTTAATACTATACTGCTTTTGCATCAATTCAGCATTTATTATTCAACAACATTGTCTCTCTTCATTATTGGTTAATAAGCAGCTGCATTGTGGAACAAATAACGGGCTCATTTGGGGTGGGGGTGACTCATCCTGCCGCTGCCACTTGCCAGCCTGCCTATCCAGGGTAAATTAACCATTGGGTTTGCTTAATGAATGGTTTCTTCATCTAAAACCTTCAAGGCTGTTGAGAGTTAAATGAGGCCTGTGTGTAAAAGGTTTGTACCCAGCATACAGAAAGTGAAACGCTGCACCCCAAAAGCTTTTCATCCTTTGCATAAACTGTATACCTTAAACTCTCATGTTTTCATTTGATACATATTGATGAACTTATTCTACAAAAATAATAGTTGCAAGCTGCTTTAAAAAAGTCAGTTTTGGAGTAGATAGTGAATAGGAAGGGGAATGGTTTGCCCATAGCTTCATTAAAGCTTAGTGTATTTACATTATACAGCATGTAGTATCTATATTTGATGATTGTGTAAAGTTTCCTGCACGAATCTGGAAAACACAAGGTAAGCAAAGACAATCCCTCCAGAGAGAAGCACTGCTAATCAGTTGTTTTTGTGTGTAGAGACAATGTACTTTATATAACACTTGTGATATTAAATTTCCATGCTTTTTGAAAAGTGGTTTTGGAGTGAACAAAACTCACTTGCATCTTCTTCTAGAAGCCAATACTATTACTTTGTAGGAAGTACCTTAATAAATACTACATGCTGTGTACTTTGAGAATGCCAGATTGGAAAAGTGATGATCCTTCTCAAAAAGCTGGCACTTCATGAGAATCATCTTCTTTAGTACTGCCAGCCTTGCGAAGCATTCAAGCTCCTGATGTTATATCATCATTCCCATTTTACAGAAAAGGAAACAGAAACATAAACACGTTAAATAACATGCTTCAAGTCACACTGCTAATAAGTGGTGAAACCTGAACTGGACTCAGACTCCTCCTTAGTAAAGTCAAACTTTGTGTCTGATGCTGAAATCTTTTTAATGCTGTCAAATGGAAAAACATTTACATACAATTTATACAATCATTCTCATGTTCCAGGTATAATTTTTCTTAACTAGTATTTTATTAATATGAGAAACATCATACAATTAAAAGGAAAGTATTGAAAAATATATGTTAGGCCTAGATAAAATTCACAATGTCAAACTAGAAAAAAGATTGAAATGTATTAAAAGCAATGTGTAAATTCTGAGTATTTGGCATCTTCACAGTTACAAGCAATAACAGTATGTAAATACTAAAGGAATTCTCAACTAACGGAACAAAATTTATCAGGCCTTCTGCTTTAAAAAAAAATGCAATAATAAAAAAAATCATATCTCATTCTCATTCTGATATTAAACATGTGCTGACCTTTGTATCAACATATCGAGTGTTTGAGCTGTGGCTACATCATTGAATTTCTTGAGTTTTGACAAGTCAAAAAGCTTGTGATTGCTGAAGAGACCGCCTCCTTTTTGCTTCATGTCCAAGTCAGAGATTTGAAATGTAGTAAACATTAGAGGCAGAGGAAAGAGGAAAAGGCTAAATGTATCTTTTGTGTCAATATTCTCTCCAAAATCTATGCCTGTTTATCTAACCTGTCCACTGGATGGATAGCAACTTTAAAAGTTTTCTATTAAATGATCCCATGTATTGGGATATATTTTTCTTTTATTAGAAAACATGTAATCTATAGTTACTTCTTTACAGTTTTTGAAGTTACTTTCCAGAAAACACCCTCTTCCCCAGAATCTAATACTGGATTTAGGTGAGCCTTTACTATCCTGATCTCTTACTCTTATTGTAATTAGTATAACAGGTTACCTTTCCTAAATTCCACTCATGTATAAAATCCTATGCTAATATTACAAAAGCAACTGCTGTTAAGAAATTCAAGTAAAATAAAAGCATGGCTGATAGAAAAGACAAAAACTGCACCATTTTTTTACTTAAAAAATTTTTAAATTATAAATACACGCTTAAAAAACTCATACAGAATATAAAGTGAAATGTAAAAGTCCCTTTACACTAGCTTCTAGCCCCATTCTTGACAACTACAGTCAAATATGGAAGCCACTAGTTATATGTAGTTATTTAAATTAAAACCAAAATTTTAAAAAATTCAGTTCCTTACACTAGCTGCATTTCAATTGCTCAATTAACAAGTGAGGCTAGAGGTTATCATATTGGACAGCAGATAGAGAACATTTCCATCATTCCATTGGACAGGTTATTGGTTACTGCTCTACAGTATGCACTAGCATATAAATGCTTTATTATTGTAAGAGTTCTATATATATTCTGGATCCAAGTCCTTTATTGGATATGATTTTCACAAATTTTCTCTCCCATGCTGTGGGGTCTTTTTACTTTCTTAATGATGACCTTTTAAAGCACAAAAGTTTATTTTAATGAAGACCAACTTTTTTTCCCTTGTTGCTTTGCATTTGGTGTTATATCTAAGAAACTGTTGCTTAGCCCAAGGTCACAAAAATTTACTTTTCTTATAAAAATTCTATAGTTCTAGTTCTTATATTTAGGTGTATGATCCATTTTGAGTCAAAATGCGTATATGACATGAGGTGTCTTTTAGCATGTAGCTATCCAGTTGTCCTAGGACCATTTGTTGAAATGTCTACTCTTTCCCACTGAATAGTATTGGTATCCTTGTCCAGTGGTCATAATAATATGGGTTTATTTCTGCACTTAGTCATATTTTATATTTCCTTGATCTATACATCTATCCTTAATGCCAGTACCACACATTCTTGATTACTGACGCTTTGAAATAAGTTTTAAAATTGTTTAAGTGTGAATCTCCCAACTTTGTTCTTTTTCAAGATTATTTTGGCTAGTGTGGGTCCCTTGTGTTTCCACATGAATCATCATCAGCTTGTCAATTTCTGCAACAAAGTCAGCTGGATTTTAATGGGAACTGCATTGAATCTGTAGACCAGTATGGGGAGCACCGCCATCTTAACAATGCTAAGTCTCCCAGTTCATAAACAAAGATGTCTTCCCATTTACTTAGGTCTTTTTAAACTTCTTTCAACAATATTTTGCAGTTTCATTTTATTCGTTTTGATGCTCTTGTAAATATAATTTAAAAAATATCAGTTTCACAGTGTTCATTGCTAGTATAGAAAGTTAACTCATTTTTGCATATTGACCTTTTATCTGTTCTGTTTCCTGCTGAATTCATTTAAGTGAATCCTTAGAATTTTCTATGTAACAAGATCATGTAATCTGTGAATACATGTACTTTTACTTCTTCTTTTCCAATATGATTGACTTTTATTTTTTTCTTGCCTAATTACCCTGGCTAGAACCTCAAGTACCATGTTCAACAGAAGTGGTGAGAGTAGACATCCTTGTATAATTCCTGATTTTAGAAGAAAAGCATTCAGCATTTTGTCTGTTGCCATTAATGATGTTAGGTGTGGGTTTTTTGTAGATCCCTTTATCATGTTGAGGAAATCTTTTATTTCTAGTTTGTTGTGTATTTTTATCAGAAAGCATGCTGAATATTATCAAATGATTTTTCTGTACTTATTAAGACAATGTAGTACTTTTGTCCTTTATGAACATGGTTCAGTTGATCCTTATTCATGATTCTGTGTTTGTGCATTTGCCAATTTATTTGTAATTCTAAAATCAATACACACAGCATGTTTTTGATCATTCGTGGACATGGGCAGACCAGTGAAAATTTTGAGTTCTCCGATGTGCATGTTCTCAGCTGATGTCAAATACAGCAATGCTTTGCCTTCTTGTTTCAGCTCTCCTGCAAGATGAAGAAGAGAAGATGGGATGGCAGAGGGGCAGGCAGTGGAGTGCAAGAAGCTCTGCCTCTGGGGCCAGTTGCACAGGCTTGAATCCCACTCTGGCACTTGTTAGTGGAGTGACCTCAGGCAAATCACCTAATATTTCTAGATCTCATTTATCTCTTTTGTGAAATAAAGAAAACAGAATCCATCAGAATAAACTGCTTTTAGGATTTAAGATTTATAATCTCTTTGAGGCATGTAAATGTGCAAACACACACAAACACACACCTTACCTCTAGGGGCAATGGCTCTGTATTTACTAATTCAGCATTCATGGTGTCTTTACAGAGTATAACTACTGTGGATAACAAGAACCATTTGCATATTACACTGATTTTTGGATGTTAAGCAGCCAATCTTGTATTCATGGAATAAGTCTTGGTCATGGTATGCAATTGTTTTTATACGTTGCCAAATTCAGTTTGCTAGTATTTTTGGATGGTATCTGTGTCTGTATTCATTTGATCTGTAGCTTTCTTGTGATGTTTTGTCTGGTTTTGCATTAGGGTAATACTGGCCTCATAAGATGAACTGAGAAGTGTTCTCTCCTACTCTGTTTTTGGGGAAATTTTGCAAAGAATTGGTGCTAATTCTTTAAATGCTTGGAAGAATACAGTAGTGAAGCCATCTGGGCCTGAGATTTTCTGTGTAGGATGTTTCAAAATTACTAACTAAATCTTATTCTTTGTAACTACTGGTTGCCTTTTCAACTTGCTGTTAGGTAGAACCAAAGGTGACAAGACTGTCTTCTAAGATCAGTAAAACTCTGTAAGAAAATACATATTATCAAGGAAGACATGTCCAATGTTTATAAGACTCAGATAAGCAACTATAAAGATTGTCCAGTAGCAACATCCTCTTTTTAACATAGACAAACATTTCACCACCCCTTAAGTACCTTCATTACCTTATGAACAATAAATTTCAGCCTGTTTTACATAAAATTTATATACAAATCCCTTAACTGACATTTGAAGCAAAGTCCTGTAATTGCAAACTAAAGCTTGTACCCGTCTATCTTATAGATATGCATGTTTACATATCTACCTTTAAATCTATCTACAAACATAATACCTGTCTCAGAACCTGTCAGGAAGGCAGTGTGTAGCCAAATAAACACTGGAATAGAAATATGGAGGTCTCCATTCTGGTGCCAGCTCTAAGTTAAACAAGATGGCTCAAATTATTACCCTTACTGATAAAAGTAACTTAAGCCTGATGATCACCAAGGTTCTTTTTCTGGGTCTAAAAATGTAACAACAACTTATTGTACAATGAGGCCTTTCCCAGTGTTCAAAATGGAACTTGTTTTTGTTATATACATGTAAACATACACACAAACATACTTCACTCTTATAGAACAAATCAACCAATTCACAAAATCTTGACAGAGGAAGTCAGTGGTTAAATAATATAATTCCAACACCTTGAAGTCCTGTGTTTGCCACAAAACAGCTGTTACTAATTTTCTCTCTCTCCATAGACACATGTGTTTTTTCCAAATACCTCACTTGATGTAAGTACTGCTGCATATAAGGCATCTAGTGATTATAATAACTTTTAAAAACAAGGAGGTCACTTTTCAGAAATTCTGAGCCCATCAGAGAAACTGAATGGTATTTCATCAGTTGTCTCTACTGGCACATTACTTCTGCCAAACTGACATGAGTAAGGGTGGGTATGATGACTTGAAATAAAGGTGTCTGCAGTCCGGCTGCAACGACAATTATCTGAAGGCATAACATCACTTGAATTACCGAGATGTGAATGGTAAACACCACGGAATGAGTCTTGAGATGAATGATAATGTCCAGCTCCCGCTGAGGTGGATGTAGAGCTCTGGTAAGGGCCATTGCACATAACACAAGTTTGAAAGCAAGTCTTCCTTCCTAAACCTCGATGAATGTCTAGTTTAGCAATGAGAGGCTTGCCAACATTCACTTCCTGTTTTTCCTCTACAGTATCTTCCAGTCCTGAGTACTGATATGATAAACATACCGTGAAGATTAGATGTTCCTAAAAAGGAAAATAAGGTTTGTTATTTTTACCAACTGTGGAAGTATATCAGTCTTAAAATAGCACTCACACACACAAATCCAGACAAAACTAAGCAACAGCAAGCTGCTCTCACTTGCCTTTCCTAGCTTCCAAATCCCCAAAGCATCCTTCACACCTTCCCTCGAGTAAGGCAGGCCAGCTACCATCATCTTCCTTTCCTCATTCAGCACTCTGAATTAGCAGAATTCTAGTTCTTACTACTGAAAGGAGCCCAAATCACAGAGATTTTGTATTATATTCCCAATGAAGGGTGAAAAGGTATTTTCTAACCAGTGAGGCTTGGGAAACTTAACCTTCCCTATTATTGGAGATGGGGGATGACCCTTTAATAAAATAATAATCTGCATTTACACCATGCTCAATTATTTATCTGTTTTTAAAATATGAAATGAATAATGAAATAACCCACATTCATAGGTGGAGAAATACAACTGATTCAGATAATGGGCCAAATTTCAAAGCAAAAAGGACATTGTAAGTAGATTAGCTATGAATCGGGTGACTATGGGTTTATGTCTGTTGTCCTTGTGTAACTGTCAATACTGCCCACTTCACTCCCCAAATTTTGGCTCATACAGTCTGTGGTCCTGTAGCTACAAATAAATTAAAAACTCAAGTTTGGCAAGGATATACTTTTATTAGAAAGCTCAACCACACAGAGGCAGTTTCTGATTTGATGTCAACAATAAATGAAAAGAGATCAAAATAAATTCTAAGTCTAATTTGCTATATATAGAAAGCCACAGAACTAGGATATGATTATTTGAAAATGCTCAGATAAATGTAAAAGTAGACTGTTATGTATGTTTAACTTCTCAACAGCCTGGAGGGTAACCACATATGCTCTCATACAAAAATTGTCAGGCCATTATCAGGGACAGAATACCAAATGAAAATGGTCACTGGTAAGATTCCCTGTATACTTGTTATCTCTACTTCAATTTAATACTCAGCAAAGCAGCACATTAAGGACTAATACAACGTTCATATGCCAAAATGAATTTTCACTTCCATAAAGTTTTCTATTAGTAGTTATAAACAGGAAAAATAATAACCTTTAACTTTTGCAGTGAACTGAGTCTCGTATAGAGGCAATGCTCGGGAAGATCCTTTGATACTAAATAGCTGCCAGTTTCTTCAGGCGTCCCTTTGTTTGCATCCTTTGGATCAATATCTAAGTCCTGTGGAAATCAGTAAAACTTACTAATGAAATCAATGAAAGTTACAACATTGTCTATGACCATAACACATCTTAACAGGTATTGCCCCCTCATGAATTTTGGCCTCAGTGAGTAATCCCTTATCCAGGACTACGGAAACAATGAAGACAGCATTCCAGAGTGAAAATGGGAATTCTGAATTGTGCACTGATACACTTAAAAAGTTAGCTCTGAAAAGACAGTAACTTTCAAGCTATCCCTAGAAACACTTAACTTCCTCAAGTTTCTTTCTAGGTTTGAGCCCCATTAATGTCTGACTTCTGGACTCCCTCCCTCTTAATTCACCACTGTTGGGAAGTGATTTGTGACTCGATTTATGATTCATTTATTTAAGAAGAATATATGGACACACCAAAGGCAGCCCTCCCTTTTCTTCTTTTAGAGCCAACCCTGGCCAAGGGCAGATCAGTGCTGCATCTCCAGGGAGAAGCCCTCAGGCTCCACCCTGCCCAGCACACCCAGAGAGGCCTATCCTGGTCCAGTGTTGCTGTGACTAGTGGGCAGGCCTGTTTAATTCTGGGCTTCAGTGCTGGGCCATTCATTCTTACGCTAAGCAATGTCCCCCGTGAGGCCTTTATCAACGGCAAGGGTGATGTTTGGATTTGTCTTACCCCTTGCTTACTTCTCAATTTACTAACTTATGTTGGAAAGAGGGGCATAGTTTATTGGCTTCTTTAGCTCAACACGAAATAAGTATCACATCTAAATGTTTGGAAGAACAGAACTAGATTTCCATTCTTTCAATATACTACCATAACTTGACAAATAAGACTTAATACTGTTCTAATAACTTAAATGGGAAACAGTTTTTAAAAAGAGATTATTATTGGCATATATATGATATAGTATAGCATAATTTATTCCTTCACATTGGATACCCTATCTAGGGTAAGGGAAATTAAAGGCTTCTTTCTTGGATGTACTTTAGACATTTCTAAATTTGACAAATTTAAGGTATTTTTGGTAATTAAGTTTTTAAATATTTTGACCATTGCTACTAAAATGCAAAAAGTACTTATATATATACACATATTTCCTTCATAGTTACCATTAGGTTCGTTTTCAAACATTTAGTCTTTAATAAGTGAGGATTTATCATTATACCTTAATTAAAAGAAAAAAGGAGAGACTTACAAGTGGAAAATCGGTAACATAGGCATCACACATTATGATGTCGGGTGGTTTGTGGACTATACTTGTATAAATTATCATGACATTGGAAAACTCAGCTGCAAATCCTAATTGAATCTGAACACCACACTGAAATTTAAGACACATACTTTCTGGAAGTTCTGAAAAAGAACAATAATAACAACTTATAAATAATTATTTAGAGGGCTTGGTAAGTTTTCTGATGATAAGCAGCAAACAACTCTTCATTACGGTGTAAAACAGAGTTAAAGCTTCTCCTGTGCCTAAAAAATGTTACGTAATTAACATATTGTTAAAAGACACACACACACACAATTTAAAAAGAGAGGAAAAAAGCCCAGTATTCTGCTGATCAAATAAAAAACCTTCATTTACTATTTCTTATAGTTCTTGTCCCTCTGCACATATAATTATTATAGTGGCAATAAGACTATAAATAAATAATTATAGATATATTTTTGTTGTTGCCTCCATCTTCATTAATATATTTTTAATAAAGCATATTGTCACTGAAGAGTTTCTTACTTTTAACAATTCTGCTGCTTTTGGTAAGGAAACTTAACAATCTTTCTGGGTTTTACATTATTTTCCTATCATTAATATTAATATTTGCTATATATACTTAATGTTTTAGGATGCTGGATATAGCTATTTGATGATTCCTCATATATGTGACAATTTTTCATTTATACAGAATATAAATATACTAATTTCGCTGTAACATTTCTAAAAGTAATATTGATTTTCAAAATCTTTGCCTATTTGACAAGATTAAAAAAGGAAAAAATAAACCATCACAGTTTTAATTTTCTTTTCTCTAATTACTATCTTGACATTTTCTATATTTGTTTCTTAATTGCTAACATATTCTCACCAGTGTGTATGGCTGGGTTTGCATCCTCTCATGGTTACTTGAGGGGGTTTCGGTTTTTGTTTTGCTATTTTGCATAAGCTCTTTATTATAAAAATTATCTATCAAATTCGTTACAAATACTTTTCTATCTGGCTGTTTAGTTTCATTTTATAAAAGGTTTTGTTTACTGTTGATCTTTACCATTGTGATTTTGTTATTTAAAGTTGTTGTTAGAGCTTTTTTACAAAGGAAAGGAATCAATTTCAATTACTTACCCAAATATCTGGAATGCCAAGATAATAAATTTGTGGAATTTTACATTTGAAAGTGCTTTATTATGTTAATTTACCAAAAATATATTAGTGGAGAGGCTATTATGAAAATAAAGATATTATATAGGAGTTCAACAAATATAATTAATTTCCAATTATCCATAATAAGGGATTTATAGCACAGATATTTGGGACTCACAGAAAATTCCAATTCTTTATTTTAGTCAATAATCTAAGCTTATTTTTTCACTAAATCACATAGAATTACCAAAGGGGATTAAGTTACAGAGATGATTTCCACCTCACCTTCACCTCTGCTCACCAACCACTGATTCAAGGGTAAAAGAGAATGTTCAGTAATATTCTCACGAGCACACAGCATGTGCTGACCACTCCACTCGTCTCTTTACGTGAGTGGTCTCATTCAGTATCAACTCTCCTATCAAATAAGCACTATTTCTTGTCTCCATATTACAGATAACATTTGTCAAATGGTAGACAGAATCAGAAGCCTGGTCTGGTTGTTGAAATAGCACATTTAGCTTAACACTAAACTCACAATACAATAAAATCTAAAGGACTATGTATTAGATAAAGTGAAAGTTATTTTTAAAACGACATTTTAATTTTACCAAGGGTGAAAATAATGGCTTAAATAATTTAATACTTTCAATATCAAATAAATCAGCATAATATCTGTAACTGAAACATTTGTTTAGTCTTGGGCTTGCTCACTAGGCTAAAATAATTTCACTACAAAATTGGGAGGAAAACTGTTTATTCAGGAGAACAAAATCTTCATGATTTAATGTGAGCATATTTTACAGAAAGACCTCATATGAAAATAGACTTTACTGTACCGTGTGCCTTGGCCCACTGTAGATTCCGTACCAGAGATTCTGCAGAATATGCTGTTCCCTGTATTGGATCAGTAAGTGCTCTCTTTTCAGATAAACTACTTCGAATCTCTAGAGCCTGTTTGCCTTTGGTAAGGTGACACTTACCCATATCTAAAAGATAAAAAGTGAACATTATTTTAAGGCCACAATCTCTTCATTGTGTTTTAAATCTTTAGGCCAAAAAACTCTCCTACAAATCAGGTTATAGTCTCAGTATCACTTATTCACTAGATAAATATTTACTAAGCAGCTACTATGTGCCAGGCATGGTTCAAAGTAAGAAGAAGAAAGCAGTAAGCAAATATTAAGATATCAGAGCAGTTCACTTCTAAGGCCCCTTTTTAGCTTTTGTCTTCCATAATTCTATTAACAAATCCCTAATATTCTAAGCCTCGAAATCCATAAATGCTCACTGGAAAACTGCTCTGCAAACAAGTAGTCTGGGCAGCACTGGGCAGAGCAACAAGAGCTCTGAGCATTAAACCTCACTGATTTCACAATCATGCCTCGGATCAGCCTTGTAGTGCAAGTCCTGCTGCACAGATGGCATGTAACTAAGTCAACAGGGAAGGAAGGAATTAAATAGGAGTGTTGCTGAATATTATACAAAAAAATTGTATAAAATAGACACTAATTCCAAACCTGCACAATAACAGTAAGAATAAAATGATTATCAGAGACCCTTGAGTAGCTTTCTCTTTATTTTTTATTTTACCTTCTGCAACTTCATCCAGTAACACAGTAATTTTCTTATCTTCTAATAATCTATCTTTTAAAAATTTCATGAAGATTCCGTTTGCCAATCCAGAATGCTGGATTTCGAAAGCTTCTGCTCCTTGACACCTTAAAAACAGCAGAAAGACAGACATTTTTAAAAAAAGCAAACATATGCCACAAGGGGCTTCGATAAACACTGATGAGCTTTATTTGCTTCCCAGCCTTTTGCATATCCTAATTAGAGTTAATTGTTAAGCAGGAACTAAATGCTTTGATGCTTAGTAAAAAGAAGATGCCAAGATACGAAGTGCTAAAGTCAATTATCTAAAATACTTTATGAAGAATGTCAAGGGAGCAATTTATGCCTACATCTCTATGGATATTTCTACGCTTCTCATCTGCAATCAAAAAAAGTCACCGATGAGTGAAGTAATCTTGAACATAAACATAGAATTTTCTTACGTGGCATATCCAAACACAATATTGGCAGTGACTTTTAATGCGTCCAAGATTGGAATGGTATCATCATAGTCATTTCTGTTTACAAGAGAGGAGGAGAGAAGGTCAGGTACAAATACAAGTTAAACGGCATTTTAAAAGCATATATAATAATATGAAAAATAGAATACTATTCTATTTTATAAAATTTACATTATAGATTCAAAATTCCTTTATCAAACAGCTACATATTTAACAAAAATAACCCAGGGTTCTTATACTGTTGAGACAGTTACCTCTTTTCTCTTGTTAGTTTTAAGCAAGAGTTGCAGCATTTGAACTCTGCCACTGGTTTCTGATCAGTAAATGCTGAACAAGCAAAAATTGTAAAAGGGATGGGAATAATCACTGGTTCTACTCCTCGGTAACACAGTGGAAGACAAATGGGATCCAAACCTTCAAATATCTGGATCAGCTGAACTTTCTAGGTCTGTAAGACCAGGACTGACAAGAGTAACTAGCGGCCCCAGCTCTATGGGTGTTTGTCAACTCCTGCAAGAATAACTCAGTGATTATTCAGAGACATCTAAAGGCACTCTGAGGACTGCACCTTTTGCAGTATGAGTAAATACCCATGCCCTTAAGTTCTTCACTTCTGTTCTATAGCAAATAGGAAACAAGTTAAAGTACTTTATACATGGAGAAAATACATTATACATGGAGAAAATATATCTTCTAGTTTCAAAATCAGTTTCAACCTATAACGTAAAATTCACAAACAAGTGGTTCTTAGCATTCACAGCTTTGCCTTAGTTTTTCAAGGCTGGTATCTAACTCCAACGAGCTTTGTTTAATAAAGATTAGGCAGTTTACCTTTTCCTACACATATCCAACAAGAACACATTGAGTCCAGTTTCTTTTTCTTGCATCAATTTCAGTATATTTTGTACACATAGACAATTTTCAGACCTATATGGATTTGGAGCATCAACAGGGACCATAAAGCTGTTCCCAAAGTTTTCATAACCATGTCCAGCATAATATAATAATCCTGAAAAGAGAAAAAAAAAAGAGATAAAAGTTAATTCTCAATTACACTGTGAACAAATATGTAACCCTCTTTAAAACAAACCCATAACTTCTATTTTCTTCAAGTTAATGCAAGCTTATTTATGAGACACCCAATTATAAATATAATCAATGTTACTGAATTTGTATTGAAAATTACTTTGATGTCAGTTTTCACTTAAACATGGCATTTTAAACCAACATCAAGATGTTGTCTTGAAGTGTATTTTAATGTATAAAGGTAATGTATCTGTAACCAATGGTGTAATTTCATCTCATGATATATAGAAAATAAAAAGGTTAAGGACATCTTTGTTGACTCGTTTGTTTCCTCCATGAGACCAGGAGATCCATCAGGGGAGGGGCAGTCTTACAATGATCTATGTGTTCCTGGCACACAGTAGGAGCTTACTAAGTATTTAACAATGAACAAATAAACACAATTCAGGTGAATAGCAACTGCAATATCAAGTGTAAGAAATTTCACAGGCATTTCCACACAATATTAGGAAGGATTAAAAAAATTAAAATGCAGATTTTACTAAGCAGCGAAGGGAAACATGATTTCATGAATTGTTATTTCTTCTTTTTGTTAAAGATAAAAATATCAATATTCTGTCTAGAGTCTCTTGAGTTAGCAATCTTAAATTTAGGTTAGTCTCAGTATTCAATATACAAGTCATTATTTCTGAGATAGGATACTATAAAAACAGCACCGAACAACTCCTGAAAAGCAGTTTCTTTTGACTGTAAAAAAGCAACAAAAATATCAGTATGGACTTCCTTATAAAAATGTTTGATAGAAATACTTGTGAAGATATATTACTCTAAGCATGCAATTTAATTTTGCTTTTTCAGTATTCTGCCTATGATGTTTTCTTTATATGGTATTCTAAAGTTAGTAGTAAGGAGGCACTCACATACAGAACAAAGAAAAAAGTTAATCCTTTACAGTTTATAGCTCCAATTCCTGGCAGAGAAGGTGGCTTTGAAGACTAAAAAACTAAACTTGCTGCATTTGGTCCTAGAACTCAGGATTCAGGTCTCTTAGTTTTTTTAAACTCTAAAATGAAAAGAAATGATTCTTTATATGTACATTTCAGGTAAAAAAAAAAGACAAAATGGACACACCTATTTATTCAGTGTGGGCTTATCCTATAGCTCCTGTGTGCCTTGAGTATTAACATGTAGGCACTGAGGGAAATGAAACAGAAAAGGAAGACAATGCTTCTGGTCCAAAGGATCTTGCAACTCATTGAGGCATGCTCATGCTGTTAGTTAAACAACAAAGAAAGCTGGCCTCTAATTAAATATCATAAATTATGTGATTAGGGCAACTCTGTATGATATGAATAAAGCGGAGAGAGGAGTATCGGTGAGACGTGAAGCCGTAAGGGATAGTCTTGAGAGAATGGGTACAATTTGGAAAGGCCGAGAAAAGAGCAAGGGACGTTACATGCAAGAAGAGCAGAAACGAACAAGGCTTGTATCTGGAGGCACAGCTTAACAGAAAGGAGACAAGGCTGGCAAAATATTAAATTATCATTGTAAATGAAGTAAGAGTGCACAGATAGGGAGCATTTCTGAAAATCGTGGCCAGGGGAATGGATTTAATTCACTGAAGCAATGAAGATCAAGTAAGTGAAAACACAACCCACAGAATGGGGGAAAATATTTGCAAATTATGTATCTATAAGGACAATTTGTACTTAGAATATATAAAAAAAATCTTCAACTCAACAACAAAAAGACAAATACCAAGTAAAAAATTGCCAAACAATTTGAATAAACATTTCTCCAAACAGGATACACAAATGGCAGATAGGCACATGAAAAGATATCCAACATCTAATGGGCATCTAAGAGGATTTTTGCACTAGAGAAATGCAAAACAAAATAATGAGACACAATTCTGTCCTTATAAGGACAGCTACAGTAAAAAAAAGACAGACAAAAACAAGTGTTGGCAAGGATGTAGAGAAATTGGAAACGTTATTCATTTCTGGAGGGAATAAACAATAGTGTAGGCACTTCGGAAAAAGGCAGTTCCTCAAAAAGTTAAGCTTAGATACCATATGACCCAACATTTCCAGTCCAAGGTAAATACACAAGAGAACTGAAAACATATAAGCCCCCACAAAAATGTGTACATGAATGTTCATAGCAGTATTATTCATAATATCCAAAAAGCAGAAACAAGCTAAATGTTCATCTGCTGATGAACAGCTGAACAAAATGTGGTACATCCATACAAAGGAAGATTATCCAGCTACAAAAATAATGCTACTACCTCGATGAACCTTGAATATATGCTAAGTCAAAGAAGGCAGACATAAAAGGAAACATATGGAATGATTCCGTTTCTATGAAATGTCTAAATAGGCAAATCGGTAAGAGACAAACTTGTTATCAGGAGTTTGGGGTAAGGAGGGTTGGAGAGTGACTTCTAATGGGTAAGGGGTTTCTTTTTTGGGGTGATGAAAATGCTCTAGAATTTGGTGACTGATGCATGACTGTGAATCTACTGAAAACCACTGAATTATACAATTTAGAAGAGTAATATTTATACTCCTTTTTTAAGGACAGTACAGTCTGATCTTCAAAAGTTTGCTTTTATAGAAGTCCCACATTAGTACCTGTCTTCATTAACCAAAAGAAATCCAAAGATGATTTCCACTTTCAAGGAAATAGCATTCTGCATTTCTTTTGCAGCAACTATAGGCAGAGCTCACCCTGAGCAGAGCAGCGAGAGCGGCCCGCCCAGCCCCTTCCTGATACTACACTCAGCATCTCAGCATCAGGCCGCCAGAGCTTTGAGCTATGGCTGTGCCCATCTGTGCATTATCTCGATTTATTCTGTACATCCGTTAGCAAGATGTGTCTTAAAGTACCAGAAAAGCCTGAGAGAGGTTATTTTTGGGTCTAGGAATACTAAAAAGTTTTCCATATAAATTTGTGGTAACTGATACTCTGCTTTACCCCATCTTTACAAAAGTCTACAGAGGAACACTCTACTTTCAGAAAGCAGGAGAAACCTGTATTCAGAGTATGACTCTATTCCCCATCATTCTCTTTACTGCTTCTAGAACAAGATATGCTTATTTTTAACCTACAAGACCTTGCTCATGTTACTCTAGCTCCTTTCTATCCACCCAAATCTTAACCAGCCCTCAAGGGTCATCTCAGGTTCAGAACCTCAGCAGGTTACCACCTGGTTTCTAGCTTTCTATTGTCTCTCCCTACTCTGAAACCCTGCAGCAGGACTCTGACAATTGCACAGCGGCTATAGTTGGCATTTTACAATTCTATATGTATTTAATTTTTTTGATAAAAAATGATCCTAATGCAGACTTTCATCTTATATATTTATATATCGCTTTCATGGTTTTCAAAGCACCTTCATGTAAACAGTCTGACTTTAATCCATATAGCAATCTTTAAATGATTTCTAACACTATTTTACAGATGAGAAAATTAAAAAAAATTTACAATGTACATATACTTTACTTGATTTACAGCCTTCTTATGGCACACAGTATTTTATATGGCTGATGCCAGCTTTGTTCACACCGACTTCGGTGAACTGCACTTGGGTTTTCTAGGCCCTGATACTCTACTTAATTGTGTAGCTGCCCTGGTCTGTATTCTTTCAGCATCAAGGTGAGCACTTTCACAAAAAGTGTACTTTTCAGTCCTTTCCCGGCAATTCTTTCCTTAGTTCTTAGCTTTGCATAATTATACCCACAATGGAACCAGAATCCTAAAGTCACCAAGGTAAATCCTCCTACTTCAACATCACAGGATCTTCTAATTTTACTAACTAACAAAAAATGTCCAAGGCCAGCCACAACTGTTCTAATGACCCATGTAATACCGAATCCTATGCACAAGGAATGTTTTCGACATCTAATATTCCTAGGAGCCTAAAACGCTCCTTCTTCCTGAGCTCACTGGGCTGAGGCCTGCTATGAGCCAAAGCCCCTGCGAAAATTTAATTTTAAAAATATTAAATGATTTACTTAAAATCATATAGCTGATAGATAATTGAACTCCATATATAGCATTTCTTCTCAGTATATTAAGGAGTTTGTAATTTTCTTGATCATATAGATCATGCTAGCTTCTGTAATAAATTAACAGAATGCATTAAATTAACATTTGCATTAAATTAACAATGCAAACTGATCAGGACAAAGGTCTATCTGGAGACCTTTCTATAAAAGGTATGTTTTTCAATAGAAATGGTACCATTTCTACAACTGATATTATTTAGGGACAGCCAATCAGAAAGCATGGGTATGGCACCCATTGTGTCATGTAACATGTTTGGCTTTAAGCAAGGTGAGGTGGGAGAGGCGGCAGCTTCAAGGGAAGTTTATGCCTTCACCATCCAGGAAAGCTATGCTTGGTCCATTATTTCAATGTCATACGTCCAGCTCTACAGTTGTTGAAATGAAGGCATCTTCCAACAAAATACCTTTTCTTTGCCCCAAAATGATTTATGACAAGTGTAAATATTCTGTATCAAAGTCTACATAAAAATTATTTTGCAGAGGATTACGCATCTCTATGTAAAGTAAGCTAGACTAAATCATTGTATTTTAAACTTCCATCTCTATAACTCCTTAATTTAATTAACTATCTCATTACTCAAGAACAGGACAGATTAGATAGCTTTATAAATGACAAAACATCTAATATGGTTAGAAATATAACCTTACAGACTATATCATTAGGGAATTTTATTTCTAGGGAACATAATTTCCAAGAATATGGTTGGTCACGGATACTTACTTCTGTCTACAGAGAAAGCATTTGTTTAAATGGAAGCGAAGTGCTCTGCTTAGAACATCCCCACAGCCCCCTCACCACCACCCACCTATGCAGCTCTTCGTATGTGTGAGTCACTATTCAAAGTGCTTTACTTGCATATCACCTCACACAATCCTCATAACACGTACCTCCTAACAGGGCAGGGAATAT